GGAGCCGTGGCCATGGCCGTTAGCTGCTGTAGCCCAGAGAAACGGCGGTAGCGGCTGGCCGTAGCTGCCGTGGTCCGTGGCCGGCGTATCCGGAGCTGTAGGGAGCCGGTCCGTAGCCGCTGGAGCCGTGGCCATGGCCGTAGCTGCCGTAGTTCAGAGAACGGCGGTTAGCGCTGGCCATGGTGCCCATAGCCTGCGGCGCTTCCGCGACCGTTAGCCGCTGTTGCAGCGTGTCCACCGTAGTTGCCACCATGTCCACCATATCCGTTGTATCCGTGGCTCGCAGAGACAACAGCCACCAGGGCAGCCAGGAGCAGCAGCTGAAAAATATTATGAATATTCAGAATACAAATGGGCTGTGCTAAAACGCTGATAACTATACAGCATGTTTAATTCCTCATGCATTGCACATGCATTGCAATTGTCATGCACTGAACTAATTGCACGTTGAATGCTCCTTCATATTGACGAGCTGAAGACAGCAGATCGGAGGCGTCCTGACGCTACTCCACAGCGTTCCTCCCTACAGCAAACATTCACAACAGTCATGATTGCTTACCGCAAGCTTGGCGTTCATCTCTGCGGTTTGCTGGACCTCCGACTGCTGGGAGAGAAGAGCAGTGAGTGTGCATGCAGACTGGACCCTGCCACTTTTATACTGCACGAAAGCAAAGGTATGACCTTGTTCCCGGCAGGGAACGTAGCATTAACACCAGCTGTGGGGTGTGGCTCATGGGCCACGGAAATGTTTGAGGAACTACTTCATGATATGAGTATGAATTTCCCTTTCGTGCCGCGGTATCGAAAAACACTTAACGGATTGAATTATTTGTGGCTATGGATTTTGGACTTCTGCAAGTTAACATCAATGAAAAGTAGCGAACGTAAATTGATTGACCTGTGGCAGTTTCAGTTAGTTTGTCCAGGTTGTCACTCCTTCGTTATAAAGATTTCTCCACTGCTCAATTTCTTTTACTTTTTAGACATGAACAAGCTGTTACAACTTCCGCCCATTTATGCCAAGCAACGCCACGCATGACGTCACGCCTCTTGATGGAGCGCCAACGCCTGTAATTATGTAAGTTTGCTTTGCTAGCACATCTTGGAACGACACGTTTATGGAACGCAAGGTTTCAATTTACCTGCATTGTTTTTAAAGGCTAAAGTTGAGCAGCCAAATGTGTATTTTCATTAATTTAGATTGGATGACTTATAAGTAAATTTGCCCTACAAGACTTTCGTAAAAGATGGTTCGTCTAATAACATATCAAAAGCATCACCGTGGAAAATTGACTGGACAATCGACTACCAACATAGGTTCAGCTATTGCGCATTCTGGATCGCCAGGAGCTCAACCGGTGTGCTTTTCTCGCCGCGATTTGACGTCACTGACGGCTATGGCGCTTGTGGAGAACTGAGCGGACGTGGCAGAAAATTTGAAAATGGTCTCACGAAGACCTCTGCTCGGCGCTCTTAAAGATAAAAACGTTTCTTTCTCTGTAATGTATTTTATTTCACATCATACTGATATGCTGTAAGCCTGATGTGCCTGGACCTCGGGTCGGGCTCGCGCCAGGATGTACTATGACGTTATTTCCGGGAAGCTCATTGATGACTTTCACTTCACTGTGAGACAAACAGGGCTCCACGCATTCAAAGCCTTTAGCAGATAGCTGACCGGAAGTAAGCCAACACAGACAGTAGTAAACACCACAAAGGCGTGTCAGGTATATCAATTAGGGCGTGTCCTGCAAGGGCGTGTTCAGCAGTGTCTAGGATACAGCACAACACACTAGTTGAGCTCACGGCGCAACTAGGCATAAGTATAGCATTAAAACATGCCAGCTTGACAGCTAGCTATGCTATTCGTGAGCACAATACTTATGTTTTGGCCCGAAACATCTTAATCAGCAGGGGCTTCCAAACCAGGTTCACACGAGGTTGTCCAAAGAGGTAATGAATGGCGCGGATCCTGATAATGGATTTAACACACAATCAAACATGGACAGCTAGTTTTTAACAAATCAGTGGTTGTCAAGACACCAAACACTGTCACCAGCTGCAGGCTACTCCACGGCAGCGTCACTGCTGCTTCCGATCGGCGCGTACGAATCGGAGCTCCTCGTGCTGCCCGGAAGAGAAGATCCGGATCCTCCGTTGTTTGCCGGCGTGTAATTTTCGGATACTCCTCTGGATGCCGGTATGTACGATCCGGGTCCGCCGTTGTTGCCCGGTAGGTACGATCCGGATCCGCTGTTACCATTCGGGAAGGGCCAAACAGAGTTCGGGTTTGGTCGGCCCGGAATGAACTGGCCGTCGGAATAGTCCGGGTAGAACGGCAGGTCCCGGTAGATGGCGTTCAGGCGAACCGAGCTCATCAGGCGCTGGAGTGCGAAGTAGTCGGAAGATTGCGTCGGTGGCGTTGACCTTTTGTATCTGTGAACGAGGAGGCGATGGGTGACTGGGTATGTTTTTTGGAGAAGTGTGGGCGGGGAGAAAGAAGAAAGAAAGGCAAAGGGAGAAAAACAGCGGATAGGGACTTAGCGGCAGATAGGAGACATCGTTAGAGTGTAGGATGTGATGAGAGAGAGCAAGAGAACGAGAGAGGGAGAGTGAGAGAGTGAGAGGGAGAGAGTGAGAGAGGGAGAGTGAGCAAGAGAACGAGAGTGAGAGAGTGAGAAAGAGAGTGAGAGAGTGAGAGCGAGAGTGTGTACATATCAGCAGAGTGCAAGCCACACCCTGTTTCTGGGACCAATGCTGCGGTCTCTGCGAACTCCCTCTCTCTCTCTTCCCCTCTTGCGGTCTCTGAGGGCATGGCCACAAGTTTTCATTCGTACCGTATAAATGCGTCCGGTCCCCAGTGGCATGCACACCTACTTCTCCACTCTCCCAGCACTCGGAGGCTCGACAAACCGCAGAGATGAACGCCAAGCTTGCGGTAAGCGACTATGGCTGCTGTGTATGTTTGCTGTAGCGGGCAACGCTGCGGAGTAACGGCAGGATGCTTTCGATCAGCTGTTTTACCGTTGTTGACCTAACGAGCAGTCAACATGCAAAGCACCCAGTCCTTTACGATGTCCCCGTCATTAATTCAATGTGTCTGTTATTGTTTTAGTAGAACCTACTGTTATTCCGTACTTCCATCATGTTTTTCAGCTGCTGCTCCTGGCTGCCCTGGTGGCTGTCGTCTCTGCGAGCCACGGATACAATGGATATGGTGGCTACTACGGCAGAAACACCGGATACAGCGGCCACGGCCACGGACACGCCGTAAGCTATGGGCACGATGGCCAGCGTTACCGCCGTTCTCTGGGCTACAGCAACTACGGCCATGGCCACGGCTCCAGCGGCTACGGATCGGCTCCCTACAGCTCTGGATACGCCGGCCACGGCCACGGTAGCTACGGCCAGCGCTACCGCCGTTCTCTGGGCTACAGCAGCTACGGCCATGGCCACGGCTCCAGCGGCTACGGACCGGCTCCCTACAGTTCCGGACACGCCGGCCACGGCCACGGTAGCTACGGCCAGCGCTATCGCCGTTCTCTGGATTACCCTGGCAACGCCGCCAGTGGTTACGCATATGCTCCCCGTAGCTACGGATACGCTGGTCACGGACATGCCAGCGGCGGATACGGATATCCGTCGTCCCAGCATTAAATGGTCTGTTGGTCTGGGTTTGGCATGCTTCGGTGTTCCTCGCTGAATATATTTCTGCTGGAAGCACACAGTTTGTGCTGGATGTCGGACCCGCCTTCAAGTTTGGAGGAGCATCAAATTCGACTACGAAAGACAAAGTCACGCCTATTCACTGATTATCCTCAATATTTCACGCAAGGCTGACGAGATGCACAGTCCGCTACAATTCTAGAAGCGTAAGAACTGGCTGAGTTGCAGAAGCGTAGTTTTGCAATAGGAAGAAGACGGGGGGGGGGGGGGGGGGGGTTGATCAGGGACGATAAGGACAAAACATACCTTAAAAAGTTTCAACGCACTGGGACATGAAATGATTCGGTCCTCTTTGATCTCAAACAAGGGGAGGGGGGGGGGCACGTGAGCTGGAACAATTAACTAAACATGAAACTGCCCACCTTAGTGGGTCTCAGTCGGGACGCCCGGATCCAGTTCAGTGTTATCAAGAGAAATCCTTGATCGCAGTTGTACAATCCAGGCATACATGTGGCGCAAAAATATCGAATCTTCGGTACCGGTCTGTGGCAATGAAACGCGGCGTAGAGAACTTTAGATACTTATTTTCTGACTGGAGGCGCTGTATATAATACTGAGTTCTTGTTTTGGCAAGCTGTGTGAAGGCGTGTTTCTTTAGCACGGCATCCAAGTTTCATAGCCCAAATGTAAATGTTCCGAGGAGCTACACGCCAAAAACCATTGAAGAATTGTCATTCTGTGTCTATCGCCGCAGCGCGTCGGCGCCAGCCGGCTGTCGGGGTTTCAGACGACACAGCACGTCGGGCGCGCTTCTGCGCCGCCATACCTTTAGGTACAGGTCCCCGCTTCAGAGGCCGTTCAAACGTTGCATTGGCATGCCGGGATATGTGCAGGCCTACCAGATTAAAGCAAAGGGGAAAATCTGTCGCTTCTCTATTCATGTTCAAGGAAAGATGCGGTAGCCGTTTTTGGCGACGGGTCTCTCTCTCTCTCTCTCTCTCTCTCTCTCTCTCTCTCTCTCTCTCTCTCTCTCTCTCTCTCTCCTCTCTCTCTCTCTCTCTCTATCTCCTTTCAAATCAGGTACTGCGCTGGCTGTCTCCTATCTCCCAGTAGGTTTTTATTCGTTGTTTTCTTCCTTCACCTGTCTTTCTCCTTTTTTCCCTCCCACACCTTTCCAACTAACATACCCAGCGACCCACCGCCTTCCTGTTTATGGATACAAAAGGTCAACGCAACCGAAGCAATCTTCCTACCACTTTGCACTCCAGCGCCTGATAAACTCTGTTCGCCTGAACGCCATTTACCGAATCTGCCTTTCTCGCTGGACTATCCCGGCGGCCAGTTCATTCCGAGCCGACCAAATCCGAACTCCGTTTGGCCCTTCCCGAACGGCAACAGCGGATCTGGGTCGTATCTACCGGGCAACAACGGCGGATCCGGATCTTGCATAACGGCAATCAACGGAGGATCCGAATATTATACGCCGGCAAACAATGGAGGATCCGGTTTTTACCTTCCGGTCAGCGGGGGGTGGGGGGTCCGAATCATACGCGCCGATCGGAGGCAGCCTTGACACTTAAGTGGAGCAGCCTTTAGATGGTGACATCTCCGTATTGTCTTGGGAACCACTTTTTAAAAAACTTTCAGTCTGTATTTGATGATATTAAAAGAAGCATCAGGGTGTGCGCAATTTATTCCATCTTTCAAGAACCTCGTGTGAACCTGGTTTGCAAGCCGCTGCTGATTAAGGTGTTTCAGCCCAAACATAAGTGCTTTGCCTACAAACAGCATAACTACCCGTCAGGATGGCAAGTTTTAATGCGATACATCTGCCCAGTTTACAGCTTGAGCTCAACAAGTATGTTTTAACCCAGGACCCTGAACTGCGCGCAATTGAAAGACACGCCCTGATTGCTTTACTGGACACGCTCTCTTGGTTCTTAACAATGTCTGTGTTTGCTCACTTCCGGTCGCCTATCCGCCCGACACTTTTGAATGTGTGTGAAACCTGTTCGTCTCACAGTGAGGCGACAGTTATCAACGGGATTCCCGAAAATGACGTCATAGTACATCCTGGCGTCATGCCAGTCCGAGATTCAGCCCATCACGTGTATGCCATATTATTGTGGTGTGAAATAAAACCCGTCATGAAGATTACACCGCCTTTTTAAGGGCACCGAACCCAAGTCCTCGCGAGAACATTTCCAAATCTCCTGTCATGTGCCCTAGGTTCGCCACAAGCGCCGTGTTTGCCACTGGCGTCTGGTCGTGACGGCAAAAGGCGACCCAGGTGAACCCACGGCTAACCAGAATGTACAATAGCTGAACCTACTGCTGGTAGTCGATTGTCCGGTCAATTCTCCACGATGATACGTCCAATATTGTAGGAGACCAGCCACTTTACAAAATTTTTGTTGTTTAACGCCGAAAAGGTGAATTAATGTCGCCGCAATTGGGAAAGAGATCAGGTTGTGGGCGTAGATCGGGTCAGTTCATCAGCTCAGTCCTCCTCGATCAAGGTTAGGAAATGACACCCCTGGTTAATCAAGTTAAGCATTTGGAAATTACCTAGGTAAGTTGAAACTTTGTGTTCCACAAGCGCGTCGTTCTAAGATGCGTTACTGCTGGGCAGGGTGCATTCTAGTAGGGCGAAGTTTCGTCGTACAGTCATTACCATAATAATCAATAGTGCAATAAAAAATACAATGATGTAGCCGTGTCCGCTCTGTAAAATAGACGTGGCGACCTACCTCGCGATCTTTTTTTGCATAGACAAGGAGTTACTATCAGTTCGTTGATATCCGAAAGGCAAGAAGAATATAGCTGTAAAGACGAGTGTCAGAACAAAAAAGTGGAAACTTGATCTATTTAGTTGAAATCACTACAGCTGAATTACCATACGGTCGCTGATTTGTGGGAGCTGTGGTGAGCTGTGGGACAAAGTGCAAGCACCGCTGACCATCTTGCCTATCTGGTTCACACTTGGAGTACGACCCAGCGCTGCACTGCCGAGGACGTCTGCGGCTGGAGCTGGAGCTTCGGCAATATGTGGAGCCCAGCTGCAACGGTACTTCTGCTATCGTGCGATCTCTGCCAACACGCGTTCTGGGTTTCCTGTCTGTGAGCAGTTGCTGTTTGGGCCGATGCATCGAATACACGGGCTCGGCAAAGAGCAAGATGTGCAACGGGTCACCCTACAGCCCCCCCCCCCCTCTCCTCTACGTTCGTGGTACAGGTTGCAGAACTTGCAGTATGTATTAAGTTGTACATCAGACAATATATTTTGAGTCATTTGGTGTGCATAGTTTTGTTTGCATCACGTGAGTTGTCTTAGAGAAGTGAAAGTCTAAAGCAACACTGGCCAACATATTCGTACAACGAGTTCATACTCAACAGCACATAACGTTTCCGCCAAATGGCTATCAATCGGGCAATGCGTGATCCGCATAGTAGACCTTAGACAGGGACATTCTCGTACGATGGCGTAAGGAGCGCTCGGTAGCGTCATTTCTATACGCAAAGGTATTTTGTGTCGCTTGCCGCCCACGACTTGATGTTACCTGCGGCGGCGGACGCCGCCCAGCATCAGGTGACTGCAACGCCGGGCAATGGCTTACGGTGATATTTCGATCGATCCGCGCCTCACGAATTTAAGTTTTTGGAAAGAACTTTTGCTATGCCGTGTACTGGTGGGCTCTTGCGCCAAAGAATGTATTTGTCTTATTTGGTTTTGCCACTGACGACACACCTTATTCGGCAGTGTCCAGTGTAAAGCAAAACATACGTGTTGAGCTCAAGGCGTAAAGTAGGCCTAGGTATAACATAAGAACTTGCCAACCTGACGGCTAGCTATCCTTTTTTGAGTACAATACTCATGTTTGTCCCGAAACACCTTAATCAGCAGCAGTTTCTAAACCAGGTTCAAATGAGGTTGTCAAAAAGGGCAATCAATTGCGCGGAACCTGATGCTTGCTTTATCACCATCAAACATGGACAGCTATTTTTTACCGAATCGGTGGTTCCTAAGACAACAAACAAATGTCACCTGCTGCAGGCTACTCCCCGGAAATGTCGCTGCTGCTTCTGATCGGCGCGTACGATTCGGAACCCCTCCTGCTACCCGGAAGGTAAGATCCGGATCCTCCATTGTTTGCCGGTGAGTAATGTTTGGATTCTCCTTTGCAGGTATGTAAGAACCGGATCCGCCATTATTACCTGGTATGTGCGATGCGGATTCGCTGTTACCGTTCGGGAAGGGCCAGACGGAATTCGTCGGCCAGGAATGAACTGGCCGCGGGAACAGTGCGGGTCAGTGTTCCAAAATTAACTGTTGGTAGGGTGTGCGGATATAAAAAACGTCAAGGAGATGTCGAAATCTGACGTCAAAATGAGCGTTTCATAAAACTATCAGCATTACAGTTGAAACGCTTCTGCAAATGACACAACGTGACGTCCATATGCATGTATATATATATATATATATATATAGAGATATATTATATTATACTATCTCTCTCTCTCTCCTCCTCTCTCTCTCTCTCTCTCTCTCTCTCTCTCTCTCTCTCTCTCTCTCTCTCTCTCTCTCTCTTTCTCTCTATCTATCTATCTATCTATCTATCTATCTATCTATATCTATATATCTATATATATATCTATATCTATATATCTATATATCCATATATATATATATATATATATATATATATATATATATATATATACATATGTCCGGTATTCGATATGCACCAAAAGCGTCCTTCCTGAAATGCATTTGTCACTAATCCTGAATGCTTTTCCTTTCCAGACCGCGACCAAAACACCGGCACGATGTTAAACATCGCATCAGATTCTTCCAATGAAAGAGACTGGCGGAATGCAGCTGACTATCTTTGAAAAAAACATTTATGACACTCAATTTACCCACATGATGTTTTGAAACCGTTGCACGGTGTTTCTGCTAAATGATTGCATCCCTCTTTATATTCGTCAAT